ATCTGAACCCCGCTTTATCCTCAGCCAATCTTACTGTCTCTGACATACTTATCCCCATTACCCCAGTGGCTGAGTCAATCTGTCTCTCTTGTCCTTCTTCTCTTGCACCATCTTTCCACCCTCCTAAGCAAGATACCCCTCCTTGCAACATGCCCAAAGTATGGCAGATGGAACTTCAGAATCCTTGTCTCCAAGGAGCAGCCTGGTTTTACCCTTTTCAGGACAAACCTGTTAGTTCTCCTACCAGTCCATGGTATATTAAATACTCTTCTCCAGCACCACAGCCAAAAATTAAATGAACAGTCAAGGCAAGTGATAAGTTCTTTTGTTTGTGGTACATACATCAAAGAAAAAACGAAATGGGTTAATAGGAGTGAGAAAGGAGTGGAGAAATGGTTAGATGATTACTTTTTATAGAAGAGCTAAGAAAAATCTCTCTAACGAGGTAGTATTGGAGCTAGGATTTCAGTGAAGGACTGAAATATCTGCAGGGAGAGAATTCATGGAATAGGGAATATTGAATGTAATGACTTCAGGGCAGGGACAAACCTTACATATTTGAAGACAAGCAAAAAAATCAATATGTCTGCAGTCGAGAGAGCATGGAGAAGGGTGGTAATTGAGACTGGGAAAGAATCATAGGATGTGATAAAAATTTTGAATTTCATTCTTAACACAGAAATCATTCAGAGGAGCAGAGAAATGCCACACTCTAATGTTTTTGTTTTTTAATTGATGCTACAACTCTGGAAGTTCAAATTCATGAATTGCTCCATAGAAGAAAGATGGACAATCTCCTGTGTAAACAAATAAGTCTTGCAAACCCAATGAAGAGTAAGCTATGAGTTGGAACTGAATCCAATGGGATTCTGTTTTGTTTTGTTTTCTAGTTGGAGGGTTGTAAATAAACAGTGGAAGGACATTTAGAAGCTATTGCAACACTCAGAGGAAAATAGCGAACAGAACCGAACAGTTAACAGTTTAAGAAATGGATAAATTCAGTGACTAATTTGAAGTTAAAATATTGAATTCCTGTTATGAAAAGTGCAGAGTTGGTAAAAGAAAAGCTGTTTTGAAATACAGAGGATATTATGCACGTATTTTTAAGTCTGTTGTTGTTATTGTTGTTGTTGTCATGTGCCATCAAGTAGCCTTCTACTAATAGAGACCCCTATGCACAACAGCTCTGAAGCCTGCCCTGTCCTGAGCCAGTCTCAATGACTCCAACACACCTACCACCATTGCCTTAGTTACTGTATCAGTCCATGTGTCTGAGGTCCTTCTTGTGCTGTCCCTCCACACTTTCAAGCATGATGTCCTTCTGTCCTTCCTGGCTACGTGGCCAACGTATTTGAGACAGCATTTCAAAATCCTAACCTCCAAGGAGATAATTAGTTTCACTCTCTCCAAGACAGACCTATTTTTTTTCTTAGCAGTCCATGGTATGCTCAAGACTCTTTCCAGCACCACAATTCAAAGGCATCAATTCTTCTGTCATCCTTAGTCATTGTCCAGCTCTCTGATGCACAGTCAGTAATTGCAAAGATCATGCACTGAATCAGGCGCACCTTAATCTCTAGACTGACACGGTTGCTTCTCAGTACTCTGGAGAGGTCCTTGACAACAGATTTTTCCCAGTGCAATTAGTATTTTTGGTTTGTTTGTTTGTTTGTTTGTTTGTTTTTCTTTCCTGACTGCTGGTGCTAAGAGTGTTGATTGTGGAACTGAGCAAGCTGTAACTGTTAGCAACCTCAATCTCTTCTCCATCCATCATGGTGGGGCCAACATCTTCTATTGTGGCTCACTTTGCAGAAAATTGGCCAAAAGCAAACATAATGTCAAGATTTGCTCTTGTGATTATGTTGTTGTTGTTGTTGTGTACCGTCGAGTTGAAACCCACCCATATCTGAGCCTCCTGAAGCAGATTTTCAAACAATTCATCACACTGTAAAAGAATGCCCATCCATTTCCTGCATAGCAGCTGGTGTCCTCAAATTGAACCGCGTGCTTTGGGGATTGCAGCACTGTTTCTTGCCATTAGGCCACCAGAAGGATTCAAATGGAAGAAAAGAGGAAAAAAGTTGCAAACCAAAACATTATCAAATGTCTTTTATCTGTGAACATCCAACATTTTGGGCTGAAACCCAATAGTACATACTCCGTTTAGCTATAAATGAACCTGAATCTTGCAGAGTACAAGCTCATTGAGATTACTCCATCACCAAAACCAAAGTCCAATATGCTGCTGTCAAGTTGGTTCTAATGTCTAGTGACTCTCCATCAGTTTTCAAGACTGGGAGCCTTTCCAGGAAGAGACTACCCGTCTTTCTTCCTCCCTCACAGTGGCTCACGGATTAGAACTCTCAACCTTTCAGTTAACAGCCTGAAACGATATACATTACACCATCAGGGCTTCTTATCTCATAATCAGTCTTGATTTAATCCTTAACAAACAGCAACTTGACAATCACCTCGGAAAGCCCCTAGGGTGAATGGTGTGTGGGAAATGAGCAAATGGTTAGTTGGTACATGTCTTATTGGAAAAAATCCACGATTTCTGATTTTTGGAGAAGGAATCACTTTGGACTGACTTTCATCACCTGTAAAGAGACCTAGTGAAGTCTGGTCGCTTAGTGGAAGGAGTTTCAGTGCCAACCCAAAGGCATGTGCGAGAAAGCTGCTCTCTGTGGGAGAAAGATGGACAGTCTCTTCCCATGCAAGTAATTGCCTCTGGAAACCCACTGGAGGGTCAGTTCCAACTCAACACTAGATAGGAGCAGGGAGCTCTGATGGCTTAGTGGTAAGGACTTGTGCTGCCAAGTCAAAGATTACTGGTTTGAATCCACCAGCTGTTTTGGGGGAGGAAGATGAGCTATGTCTTCCCTTGTGATATATTATCTCTGAAAACTGCTGGAAGGTCAGTTATGAGTCAGTTATGACTCAATAACAAACAAACAGCATGAACAAACCTCTATGTTACCTTGAAACCCTTTCTTCCAAGGAAGCACTCTTCAGTGCCACTAGAGTTGGGCTTGGTGTTTGGGTTTTTTTTCTTTTTCTTTTTCTTTTTCTCTTTGAATGTACTAGTCTTTTTTATCTTGATCTCTACTATCTCTTCTTCATATAAATATTAAAGATGTACAGCCATAACTCTCTCAACGTGTTTTGTAAAATCTTAATCATCTTCCAACCACAAGTCTTCTGTATCAGTGCTGAACTTCGCTAATAGAGAAGATTCCCAAAGCACAGCCAACTCTCCATTTTATTGCTTGACTTATAGGAGCAGTGAAGAATGTTCCCACTTTAGCTAAAAACTAGAGCTAAACTCACAGAAGGATGGGAAATCTTCTTCTCTGAAATTTACTTCCTCCTAAAACCCACAGAAGAGAAAGCAACAAGTTGATTCTTACTCAAAGGCACATAACAATAGAGACAAAGCAGGTAAACAAACTGTAGTCATAAAAGCTGTGTGTATTTCTGTCCAGTGATATCACTTCACATTTTTTAATACCCATACTACTGGTATTGAACATAGATTCTTTTCAATTTCTTATCTTGTTTTAATTTCAGAGTTATATCTTGAATTAATATATTTAATCTATATAGGCAATCCAACAAAGAGCCTTGAAGTCAGAGATAACTAGAGATAACTACTTAGAGTTGCACAGAGAGCTCTGGTGGCTTTGTGGTAAGGAGTTGTGCTACAACCAGTCCAGACCAAAGATTTGAATCCACCAGCTGCTCCTGGGAGAAAGATGGGCAGTATCTTTCCTGGGGACTTTGTGTCTCTAAAATCTCACTGGAAGGTGAGCTATGAGTCAGTTCTGACTCCACAGCATAATACAACCACAACTTAAATGTACAAAATGTGTCTCCAATTCAATATTCTCATCTTCAATTTATGATAATAGCAATGTTTACCTCTCACTTGTTATGCATCAGAGAGTTGGACAATGACCAAGGAGGATAGAAGGAGAATTGATGCCTTTGAGCTGTGGTGCTGGAGAAGAGTATTGAGAATACCATGGACGACTAGGAAAACAAACAGATCTGTCCTGGAAAGGGTTAAACCGGGTGGCTCCTTGGAGGCAAGGATTCTGAGGCTCCGTCTAACATACTTTGGACATGTTGTGAGGAGAGACCGGTCCTTAGAGAGGGACATCATGCTTGGGAGGGTGAAGGGGCGACAGGGGAGGGGAAGACCCTCTATGAGGTGGATTGATTCAGTGACTGGGATAATTGGGATGGGAGTGTCAGAGACAGTGCGATTGGCACAGGACAGAGCGGAGTTTAGGGCTGTTGTACATAGGGTCGCTATGAGTCGCAAGCGACTCGACGGCACATAACAACAACAACAACAACAACAAAGAAAAGGTAATTCAAACAAAGTTCTTGTCCCAGCTAGCAAACACAAATGATTAGATAAAAGTGGTGATAATTTTAGAAGGGGGGAGGAAATCACAAAGCCAACAAGATTTAGGAAATCAACATATTTATTCAGGTCAAATAAACAACTTCATAGTTATTGTCATAAATATTAATAATATCCTTAAAACCAGTAATTCTTTATTTCCATAAATAAGTTCATATTTGTAAAATTGCATAAATAGAGTATATACTTATAACAATAAATAAATTAATAAATATGAAATATTTGTAATGAAAGCATGAAGTTATATAAGATCTGTTAGGGTTTCCTCCCTTAAAAGGCTGGGAAGCAAACTTTTTTTTGTGGGAATAAACAATAGTTTAAAAAAGAAAATGTTTCTCTATATGTGTAAAACACCAACTATAAAATGTTATCAGTAAATCACTTTATGCTTAAAAGGTTACTTTCTAGTCCTATAGACACAAGTGACATTGTTTTCCTTTTTAAGCTACTTTGAGGTTCATTTGGGACTTCCCATTTTCATTACAGTTTAAAAAAATGTGCATCTTATTGCTTCTATAAAAGCAGGGAGGGTTCTTTTTTTCTTTTTCCTCCCTCAGCTTTGCTCTGATTAAGTGCAGGCATCCTTCAGGGCGAAGAACAGCAAATCCATTTCTCCAATTACTTTGATCTCACCGCTTTCTCCAAGCTGTGAAATAAGAACACAAAAGTCTGAATATTTACACTGTATTTCCCAAAGTGGAATAAAGTAGAGTGAGATGGCATGATTCAGTAGCTGCAGACACAAATCAGACTTTAGCCTTTTTGAAAAACACTGTAATATGGATGCCCTGTCAGGAAAAGTATAATGTGACTTGCCAAAGACCTTAAAATTGTGACTATTGAAACTGGTACCAGCAGGCATCAGCTCAACTGTATCTCACACCAAAGAAGCTTTTTAAAACTTAGGTAGAAAGATGGCCACACCTTCTGTCACCAAAACAACTATAAAGTTATGCTGACATTTAGAGAATTCTGAAGACCAACCCTTATAAATGTTCCTGTGTCTTACTTCCACAACAGTCCAACATCATTTATTTCTAATAATTCAGCTCAAACAGCATGAATCCAGAGCACACATTTACCAAAGTCAGCTTTATCTATTCTCACTTACTTGACAAACAAAAACAGTTTCACCTTCCTAGAAAAATACCAAGGGAGTCATTTCCAGGTGCTTTAGTAAAAGTCATATAGGAGTGCTAGCACCTATTCTCTTCCTTCCAGCAACTAGTATGCAGATGAGATATTCAAAGCAAAGAAACAAATTCAAATCTAGTAACCTCCACGCATGTAATGTGTTCTCGATTATGTCAAGAAAAATCCCAAGTCACTATTGCCCCCTGTAGTTTGTTGTCACTCAAAGACCGTAAAGAATTTTGAAGCTCACCTTGCCCTAGTGCCATACACTATGGTTTCCCTTTGTAGTGACAAGGAACTAATACCTCCCAAGAAGGTCCCTTCCACCAGATAGCTCTGACCAATTTTGCCTTCTGTAGGACATTCTCTGAATGACTTTCTTCTCTTACATGTGTTTTCTAGAGCTCGGGGCGGGGGGCGGGGGGAGCGGGGAAAAGTAATCATTCTCACACATGGCAGATATGAAAGTTAATTCTCTCTAAAAAGTTTTTAAATGTCTGTTTACCCACACAGATCACCATCAGCTTTTTTTGCACTTCACTTTTATTAAAAAAAAATTAAGTAAACTGTCATCCGAGATGTTTTTAAACAGAAACTACAAAGAATTCTAAGTAATAGATCTCTAATAAGAGAATTGTTCTTCATAATGAGAAAGGATGAAGCCTTCTATTATCAAAGGATGAAATAATTGTGTGCATTAAATTATACTTGGAAAGAATATATGAGATAGATTATATATATAATATCTCAAAAGAGAGGGAAGTTAATCTAAATTTGGCACTGAAAATTATGTTAACCAGAACCTTCCTATTTCTGACAGTTTAATTGCACCTTCTAATAAGAGTATCACTTTCCCAGCTAATTATTCTTCGACGTCACTGAGTGATACAAATAGCCAGCACACTTCAATGAAAAGCTGAGGTCTCTCTCAGGGAGGAGTGATAGGGAATGGCAAAGGACACACTGACAAATGAGATTAATCAGAACTGGCTTTGACAAGCACTGTGGCAACTGGACAATTAAAACAGACTTTCAAGAGGGGGAGGAAAAAAGAAGGACAATCTTGGGGGGGAGGGTAGAGAAAATAGTGCAACGATGAATGAATGGAAACCCCAAATCTCTGTAAATGTTCATTAAAATTAATAAAATTTAATTTAAAAAAAACTAAAAAAAAAGAAAAGCTGAGGTTTATGCTTTTCTACTATTGCATGTGTTAACAGGAGACTACAAAATAATAATGCTAAAACTGAGTGTATACCGCTATTGGAAAATGTGCTGGTCTAGAATCCCGGACACCTGTGTCCCAACAACCCTAGTTCTGTCACTAGTCATCTTGAGACAATACAGTAATAAAACCTGTTAATGTTAAGTGCCATCAAGTTGACTACACCTCACACTGATCTCTGCACAATAGATCTCTACCTTGCCCTACCCATGCCATCTTCATCATCTCTGATACACTGGAGCCCATTGTTACAGGCATTGCACCAATCTATCTCATCGAGGATCTTCCTCTCTTTGACCCTCCGCCTTTCTAAACATTATGTCCTTTTCCAAAGACTGACCTTCTCTTAATAATGTGACCACAATATGTGAGCCAAACCTTCACTAGATGACCTAAATTTCCAGCAAGTTTTGGAATTCTACAACGAGCAAAACTTAGAAATACTATATACATACATAGATACATCTACAAATTTGTACATCTGGCTAATTAACTTGCTGGCAGTAAACCAAAGGAATAAGACTGGAAAACAACCTTTGTCTCTCCAGGCATTAATAGTATTAATCGTATTAGGAGTTATCAGTCATACCTGTTTCACTGTGTCCTTCAGCTTCTGAACATTTCTCTGGACTTGTTGACCATCACCCTGAATATGCTGCAAAAGGAAAACAAGAATAACAATTTAATGCGGCCAGCCTGGAGTTTAATGAACCTCAGCTTCTCTATTTTAGGCAATCACCTGAAATTGAAGCGCTTTGTCATTTCACCCGCTGTGACCTACATTTCCCAAGTGACCTACATTTCCCACACTGTTAAATTGTCTTGAACACCAAAATCCAGTCACTTTCTTTACAGGGGACCGCTCTTCAACTTTAAGAAACTCTGATTCCTCAATTTCTGGAAACAGTCAAGCAGTTTATACAAATTGTCTCATGGATAAACCCCAAAATGTACTTCATCAAAAATATGTCCTCACTTTCTACAAAGATGGCACTGAAAATGAAGAAGGAAGCCCCAAGAAGGAAGCCCCTGCCCCTCCCAAAACTGAAGCCAAAGCAAAGGCATTAAAGGCCAAGAAGGCAGTCCTGAAGGGCATCCACAGTCACAAAAAAAAAGAGAGAGAGAGAGAGAGAAAATCCACAAGTCACATCTTCCAGCAGCCCAAGACCCTGAAACTCTGAAGGCAGCCCAAAAATCCCCAGAAGAGCGCCCCAGGAGAAACAAGCTTGACCACTATGCCATCATCAAGTTTCCCCCGACCACTGAGTCAGCCATGAAGAAGACAGAAGGTAACAACACACTTGTGTTCATTGCGGATGTCAAGGCCAACAAGCACCAAATCAAACTGTAAAGAAGCTATGTGACATTGATGTGGCCAAAGCCAACATCTTGATTAGGCCTGATGAAGAGGAGAAGACCTATGTTCAACTTGCTCTTGACTATGATGCTTTGGATGTTGCCAACAAAATTGGAAGCACTTAAACTGAGTCCAGCTGACTAATTATAAATACAAATCTTTTTCACCTAAATCAATCAATCAATAAAAATAAATTCTAAAAAAGTGTTCTCAAAACAAGTACGTAAACATCATGGTAAACAGTAAGCCTTCCACAATAAACAGTAAGATCTTATTCCACTCATAACTTTTCTCTGAGTGTGTGTTCAGAGGCCTTAAATTCACACACTCCCATCTCTGTCACTTCCCATGACATCAAAGTCTCTGCACACTCACCTCAGACGTTAAACCTTCCTACTTCCCTCTTTTCTCACTTTCTTTTTCTTTCTTACCCCCTTCCTCCCACAACTTTAAAACATCGGATCTATGTCCTCATCTAGACTTGTTTTTTGCCTTGAAACTCTCAACACCTTCCTCATCGTACATAGCCTGAGTTACTATTTTCTAGGATCAAATGAAATTTCCAAGCACTCCTATCTTAGACCTCATTCATCACCATAAATTCAAACTATGGCTCAATTAAAGCAAAACCAAACAATTAGACACTCTCATTCCAAATGGGTTTTGGCCAAACTGACAAACACTTCACTGCCAACATCTGGAAGTAAAAGGGATAGGAAAGGAAGAGGGAGGTGGAAGGAAAAAATGAAGATTTCAAGATTGATGAGAGGTTTTAATCGGAAGAGAGAAGGGAAGCAGCCGGGAATGGGTGAGCTTAAGCTGAAAGAACTTACACATTGGCTGAGCTGATTCCTGAATCTGGTCATGATTGACACCACCTGCTGCATGTGGGGCTGGAATCTATCAGAATAGGGCAGAAGCACATCTTCGATGGTGAAGTTCAGCACCTGCTTCATCAGATAGCAATGCTCACTCACCTGCGGAGCCAAAGTTCAACAGTAGGGGTTACAATAGGCAGACATTCAAAAGACTCAATCTTTCAAGTCTCCACTATTGGTATCCTGTCCCTACTGCTCATTGTGACCAGACTTACATGAACTCCACTTAAAAGTTTATCCTCAATGAGGCGAACATCGGTGTTGTTATCTGCCAAGCTGGCCTGAAAATAAAGACAAGACTATGGTAACATCTGGCCTGAACATCGGGAAGATAGAACATAAATCTGTAAGTAGAGATACACCCTAGCCCTTCTCACCAGAGCAATGTTATGAAGACTAGACAAAGATCCAACCCAAACTCAAGTGTGCATAAGTTTACTAGAAGGCACCAGGAAATAGGGCAGGAGAAAAAAATCCTCTGATAGGCTACCAAATGGCTTCTTTTTTTTAATAGAACTCAATGTTATGGACTCTAAAAGCCAAACTAAAAGGTCCTCTAGAAACATGAGATCTCCAAAGAGTCCCTAAAGGGACATGGAAAACTATCTTAGATGTCCAATTATCTGTGAGGATATGTGTTAGATATTTGGAGACCTTAGAAATGCTCTGAAGAAAATGATATGAGGTATTTAGATTCCAAAAAAGTAGAATGAGGAAAAGAGACAGAGACAAGTACCTCCTTAGCAAGCATGAGGGTACGGTTGATGACGTAGGGCTGCTGGAAGTCGGTTTGGTTGAGCATGCAGTGGGACTTGATGGGCACAGCTGTCCCTCCCTGGATTGACAAGGCAGTGAGTAGGATGTAACAGGCAGCTACAGACCCCCAAAGGGAAGAGCTCACAGACTTCTGCAGGATCGCCATTGTAGACAGCTCAAACTCAAACAGTTGATGATTAGTGAGGAGAATCTGCTATCAAAAGAATAAGACAGAGAAATTACATGAGGGAAAAATATTAATCAAGATGTCTCAAACCAAACCAATTCATTATTTAAGTTTGTTGAAACACTTACCTGTTCCAATGACTCTTGTGATGTGAAGTGTAAAAGTTTCTGCTTTTATAGTCCTGAGGACAATGAACATTTTTTTTACTTCAAAAACTATGACATCAGCCACAATCTAATTTTCACTATTATCTTCTGAGAATTTCTAACCATCACAGGAACCCACAAAACATTACCTCCTAGTTTTCCAATCTTGAGATGCGAGTGTTTCCCTAAAACGTCATTGCAAGTTCGCAAAGGATGCTTTCACAAATAAATCCCAGAAATTTTCTAAACCTATGTATTTTTCAAAGAAAACTATTGCTTTGTCTTAGTAGATTCCAGCCTTAGTAAAACAGTCTTTGATCTCCTAGAATAACTGAGTAAGCATTTTGGTCAAGGTCTCATTTTCCTACCAGCTACTTATACTATTACCTCAATTAGAAATGATGATAAAGGACCCATATTCTATATCCTCTGCTTTAAAATAATAGTAACAGTTTGAAGGTAACTAAACTAAAAAAAAACATTTTACTTCAAAATTTTAGCATACTTAATTCTAAACAGAAACTTGTTGTTGTTCTTGTTATGTGCCGTCGAGTCACTTGCGACTCATAGAGACCCTAAACTCTGCTCTGTCCTGTGCACTGTCTCTGACACACCCATTCAGATTACCTAAGTCACTGAATCAATCCACCTCATAGAGGGTCTTCCCCTCTTGCACTGTCCCTCCAACCTCCCAAACATGATGTCTCTCTCCAAGGACCCATCCCTCCTTACAACATGTCCAAAGTATGTCAGACAAAGCCCCTGAATCCTTGCCTCCAAGGAGCAGCCTGATTTAACCCTCTCCAGGATGAATCTGTTTGTTTACGTTTGAAAAATATCTGTAATGTCTATGCTAATCACTGTTTTCGTCTATTTGGGAGCTTTTCCATAAGCAATCATAGCAACTATGATGGATGCAAGTGTATCTTAAATTTTTATTCATTGAATGATAATTAATATCAATTTGCATTTAGAAATAGATAGGTTGAATATGCAAATATTTTTGGTACCAAAATATGGTGGATTCAGGAGACTTTAGTTTAAAATGAAATTTTATATGCACTTAATTCTAAACAATGCACAAACTTCAAAATTGCATTTTGTTGTTGTTGGTTTTCAGTTTATTGTTTGGCACATATATTAGTAAATTTTAAAATATCAAACTATGAAATATCAATGTGTAATAAAATCAACTAACAACAGTTAAGATTCCTAAGGCTCCAGTAACTGTATTACTATCATGAAAATCTAACTGCATAAGAACTCTGCAACCATACTCTCTGGACTGTGGGAGCTGACCCAAGCACCATCTGTTCCCTAAGTCACAAGCACTTAGGAGTTAATTCATGCTGAATCCCACACGTTCTTACTCATCTCCTGAGCACGTGTTCACGTACATAGTCATCACAATTTTGAAAAGAACGGGTGGCCTTCATGCATGTCAGATTTCAGTTTTATCCAGTCGTTCATTGTCTGCAGGGTTATTTTCTCTTGACTTTAAATTTTTGCAGCGTTTTCATTTTTTTCTTCATTTCTTTCTATGTATCTCAACACTTCCAATTGTAGTTGATCCAATTTTTCATTTCGACTCTCATCTAGAGGTATGTTCTCACACATTACAGGATTTTATCTAAAGTAGGTGTCAGAACCAGAATAGATCTTCCCTAATGATTGAAACAGCAAGAAACCCCACATGTCCCAAGGTAGCTGCTCTGACTACCTTAGTGAACAAAGGAGTAACACCGAAAGGATTTGTGTTCCGGAACTAGGGTCATTTTCCTGGGATAAACTCTCACTATCTGAGGGGGTCTGTTAGTATAAGCTGTGCCAGGCCTTTAGAGCGCCGTCCGCTGCTCCAGGCTACTTCGCACAGTACACGCTGGGAAAAAAATCTTCATCGCCACGGAGGTTTGCTTCCGAATAACCCTTCAGCGTTAGCAATGCAGGAGTGGTCAGTTATGAGTCAGACAGTATGTTGTTCTGTTGTCCGGAGGGCAGACAAGAGTTGGAATTGAACTCCTTGGACAAAACTACTTCCCAGTTTGTTGGCCAGCACTTGAAAAAGCTCAACTGGAAATGTATTCTTTTAAAATGTGCACCTCATTAAGAGACATAAGATACATACATATACATACATGTATACACACTCTGGGGGCAAGAAGCTGCACTGCAATCCTGAAGGCGCATGATTCAAGGCCACTAAATGCTCAGCAGGGATGTGCAATCTCCTCCCATACAATTAACCGCCTCTAAAAACCCTCTGGAGGGTCAGCTAATGGATTCTGACTCCCAAAACAACAATGATTGATTGAGAGATGATAGAGATAGATAGATAGATAGATAGATAGATAGATAGATAGATAGATAGATAGATAGATAGATGATAGACAGATAGATGACAGAAGATAGATAATCATAGATGAGAAAATCTAAATTCACTATATGCCTTAGTAGAGTGTACATAGGTCATTAGGCTTCTCCTTGTGTCTCGCCATCTTTGTCCCTAAGGAGCATTCTGACTCCACATCTTACAAGACAGATTTGTTTGTCCTCTTGGCAGTCCATGTATATTCAACATTCTTTGAGAACAACACTATCCAAAGTCATTTATTCTTCTTCACCCTTCCATATTCTTTGTATGGACAGGTGTGTTTCTTTTTATTAGTTTCTGTCACACTGCTCTCCAGACACGCAACACTAACCTAACTCCACACATCGGTGAATAATGGTTTCTGTTTTCTTATCTCTCCACCCACACTTGGTATTATATTACTTCCTACTTTTAGAGATTCCATTTGTGTCTTTATTGTAATATTAATACACATCTTTACACTTACAGTACTTGTGACTTTTATTATTGTCTCTTTACATCAGCTGCTCATTTTTCTACTAATCTTTGGTCTTCTTCTTGGTGACTTGTAAAAGCTCCATGTGTACTCTAGATACTACTCTTTTTAGTCATTGTTGTTGTTGTCATGTGCCGTCAAGTTGCCTGTGACTCATAGGGATCCTATATACAACTCTAAACCCTGCTCTATCAATAGCCAATTTCATTATCTCTGACACACCTATCCACATTACCCCAGTCCCTGAGTCAATTCACTTCATCCAGGGTCTTTCTCTTTTGAGCTGTCCTGGCACCAATAATGTCCCTCTCCAAGGACTGATCCCTCCTGGTCATGTGCCCAAAGTATGTCAGACAGAGCTTCAAAATCCTTGCTTTCAAGGAGCAGCCTGGTTTCATCCTCTACAGGATGAATCTGTTTGTTGTCTTCTCAGACCATGATATATTCGATACTCTTCTCCAGCACCACCACTCAAAGAAGATTCTTCTTCTATCACACTCCTCATTGTCCAGCTCACTGATGCATAGCAAGTAATTTTGAAGAACATGGCCTGGATCAGGCATACCTTACTCTCTAGATAGCCATAGCAAACTTTTCTCCCATTTTGTCTTCGATCTATTAATTATTAATATTTATCCTTTCCCACAAACACAGCCTAATGTACATGTAACTGAAGATATTATTTTCTCTTTATATGACTTGACTTTTTCAAGATTTTGTCTCTAAAATCTCTTTTTCTACTTTTATATTACATAGATACTTTTCTAGCTTTTCTTCTATTTATGGATTATCTTTCACAACATCTTTTTTTCTTCATTTTCATTTTTTGTTGCTGCTGCTGAGGTTTCTTTTTGGTTTGAGTAAAGGTTTACAAATAATTTAGGGTTTTCATATTCATTCATTCATATTTTCAATTCATACCTTTTTTGTTTTATAATACTAATTGGCATTGATATCTATGATTAATTACTTATAATGCCTAATAAACTCCTTATTGTGTGTTGCCTTTGCTTTTACTGAACTTATCTTTTTCTCCCTTCTCCCTCCCTTTCCATCCTTTTAAACCCTTCAGGATTACTATTATCTGTGTGTAAACTTTGCCTGAGATTTTTGTAATAATTTTCTTATACCATAATTGTCTTTTTGTGACTTGGCTTGTGTCACTCAGCATGTTTTATTCTAGATTCATTCATGTTGTGCAGTATTTCACAAATTCTTGATGATTTTGTCAGTGATACATAGTACTTCAATTTGTGAACATGCTAGATGATTACTTGGGTTGTTTCTAACTCTTTGTTATTATTAATAATACCGCCGTGTGGCATCCACTTCCTAAACAACTTGATGAACTTTGATAAAAGACAATAGTTATAGATAGGCTTTAGGCCTTTTGTTCATAGGGTCGATATGAGTCATGCTCAACTCAATGGCAATAAACAACAACATGTATATAATTTTTGTTACAGACCCCATTTCTTTGAAATATACCTAGTAGTGGGATTCCTAGAACAAATGATATTTCTATTTCCAACTTCCTAAGAAGAATTCCTGAGGAGCCACCATTTTACATACTCACCAGCAGTTTATGAGAATTCTGATCTCTCCACATCCTTGTCAGCATTTATTGTTTGCAGTCTTGTTAAACATTGCTATTGTTGTCTGGGTAAAATTATTATCTCATTGTTTTGTTTCGGTTTTTTATTTGCCCATGGTTGGGATCTACTGGCTGCTCTGTGACCAAAACATGGGCATTCTCCTTCTGATTCTGATTCACACCCTCTGAAAACTCACTGGAGGGTCAGCTATGAGTCTATCCTGATTTCATGACACATAACAACAGCAATAGCTAATGATCTTGAGAATTTCTTTCTGTTTCTTAACTATCTGTATACTTTCTTTGGTGAAATGTCTATCCACTGCCTTTTCCCACTGTGTAATTGGGTTGTTCAGTTTTTCCTTGTTGAGTGGTTAGAGTTTTCTACAAATT